TCAATGTAGAGCTTGACCGCTGCCTTCGGACACAAGAAGCAAATTACAACAACAACAACAATAACAACAGCCAGTAGGAATGAAAACCAGAGCTGGCAAAAGGGGAAATAAAATGAACGAGAAAAAAAGTAAAGAGATGAAGATGAAAAAGTACTGAATCAAAAAGTTTGGAGAAAGAGTTTCCTTCGCTTTTTGCAGTTTTAAGAAAGAGAAAATGAAAGTACATTGTTATAAGAAGAAGAAGAAAAAGGAGGAAGAATAGGCGAAAAAGAAAAATGAGAAAAAAAAAAAAGAAGAGGGGGAAAGAAGAATGAAGAAAAGAAGGAGAAAAAGGAATAGAAGAAAAGGAAAAATGTGGAAGAAAAGAAAAAGAACAGAAAAAAAAGAAAATAAGAAGAACTAGCAAAAAAAACGAAGAAATGAAAAAAGGAAGAAGAAAACAATAAAAGAAACGAAAGAATAAGACAAGAAACAGAAGAAAATAAAAAAAAAACGACAAAAACAAAGAAAAGAGGACGAATTGAAGAAAAGGTTGAAGAAGAAATGAAAAATAATAGAAAAAGAAGAAGAAAAGAAAAAGGAGAGGAAAACGAAAAAAAAGAAGAAAAAGGGCAGAGGAAAGAAAGAATAGAAAAAAAGAAGAGAAAAGAATATAAAAAAAGGAAAAGGAAGAAAAGAATATAAAAAAAGAAAAGAAAAAGGGGATGAAACCGAAAAATATACAGAAGAAGAAAACAGGAAAAGGAAAGAAAAATAGAAAAAGAATAGAAGGAAAGAAAGAGGAAGTAAAGAATAGAAAAAAAAGGAAAAGGAGAGAAAAAGGAAAGAGATACAGAAAAAGAAAAGAATAAAAAAGAAGAAAAAGAATTGAAGAAAAGAAGAGGAAGAAAAAAAGAAACAGTTGAAAAAAGAATAGCATAAAAAGAAGAGGAAGAAAAGAACAGACAAATGAAGAAAAAAAGAAGAGAAAAAGAAGGAAAGTAGAATAGGATGATAATGTCGAAGAAATAAAATAAGAAAAAAGTGTAGAAGCATTTTTTAATGAAAGAAAGAAATGAAGATGAATAGGGAAAAGAAAAACAATGGTGTAATGAAGAATATAAAAGTTCAGTAACAAAAACTTATTCAATGAAAAACAACGAAAATAAAAAAAAAGCGGCAGTGAAAAAAAAAAAAAAGAATGACAGAAGTTTGTGGAGCGAAAAACGTCAAATTTAATAAAGAATAAAAATGCAGAACTAGAAGCAAAAGAAGTCGAAAGAAGAAAAAAACAGAGGAGTAGAAAGAAGGAAGAAGAAAGGCGCCAAAAGAAAAAAAAGAGAGAAAAGAAGGAAAAAGATGGTGAAAAATTGACAGTAAATATTGTAAACAAGAGGGCAAAGAAAAAAAGAAAAAGCAGAAGCGAAGGGGGAAAAAAGAAAAAGGAAAAGGGAAAAAAAGAGAAAAATGAAAGCACAGATGTGAATGAAAAAGAATAAACAGAAAAGAAAAATACGGAAGAAAGGACTTAAAAGGGAATAATAGAAAAAGAATAGAAAAGAAGGAGATTATAAAAAAAAAGAATAAACGTATGAAGGAAAAGAATAAGAGAAAGAAAATAGACATAGTTATAGAGAAGAATAATGAAGTCTTAAATTTTAAAACTAGAGTATTAGAAAGAAAGAAAAAAGAAAGGAAACATGTCTTAAATTGTTTAAGACAGGGAGAAAAATATGTCTTAAATTGTTCAATTGAGAAAGAAAGAAAGAAAGAAAGAAAGAAAGGAAGAAAGGAAGGAAGAAAGAAAGGAAGAAAGAAAGAAAGAAAGAAAGGAAGAAAGAAAGAAAGGAAAGAAGAAAGAAAGGAAGAAAGAAAGGAAGAAAGAAAGGAAGGAAGAAAGAATGTCTTAAATTGTTTAAGAAAACGTTAACGTGCTAAAGAAGAGTACTAGAAAGAACGAAAAAAGAAAATTTCTTTCATTGTTAAAAAACATTAGAAAGAAAGGAAGAAAAATTGAAAGCGTTGAAGAAGAGAATTAAAAAGAAACAAAAAAAAAGAAAGAATGTCTTAAACTGTTTAAGAAGAAAAAAATGTTAACATATCAAAGAAAACCACTACAAAAAAAAAAGAAATTGTTAAAGAGAAAAAGAAAAAGAAAGCGTTAAAATGCTACAGAAAAACATTAGAAAGAAAAGAAGAACGTGGTAAAGAAGAGCATTAGAAAGAAATATAGAAAGAAAATCTTAAATTGTTAAAGGCGATCATTAAAAAGAGAGAAAAAAGAATGTCTTAAATTGTTTAAATCAATACATTGGAAAGAAAGAAAGAAAGAAAGAAAGAAAGAAAGAAAAAAAGAAAGAAAGAAAGAAAGAAAGAAAGGAAGAAAGAAAGAAAGAAAAAAAGAAAGAAAGAAAGAAAGAAAAGGAAGGAAGAAAGAAAGGAAGAAAAAACTGTTATAAATATAATCGAGAAGAAGAAGGAAAGAAAAGTATTTTGAAATTGCATAAGAAAAGAAGTAAGCATGAAAAAGTGCAAGGGAAAGAAAATAAAGAAAAATGAATAAAGGATTGAAAAACTACGAAACTATTATTCCTTCTTGACTACATACCACCTCCTGAACTTACCCAATTGCCACCAGTGCGTAACTACACACTAACACTAACGAACGGTCACTACACAATAGAGAACTGACCGGTGCCCAGCTCAGCTGAGATACGTGCAGGGGGTAGGGTGAGAAAGTTACATTGGGAAAAGGAACGTAAGAAAGAATGATGATCAAACTAGCGTTATCAACGCAATGGACGTTTCGTCTGGCATTTACGTCAGTAACGACTGCTACACCCCACACCCCATGACTAGATTTTACTCATACAAAGTCACCGTACTACATCATTGCTAGAATTTCATCTGGCGTAACGTTGCCGAAGGGCGAAGGCTCAGGTGTGCGGATTGGGGTAGAATGGACGGTTTAAAGACAAGAAAAGTGCTGTGATAAGGTCTAGTTAATAATTTGTCTACTTCTTCTCTAACTACTGCTCTCTCACTCTCTTCATATATATATATATATATATATATATATATATATATATATATATATATAGATAGATAGATAGATAGATAGATAGATAGATAGATATGTATGTATGTATATGAGCAGCAATCCTGCTTTTATACATATTTAGTTAAGTAAGAGAATGTAGAAACTACCGGTGGTGATTATTATTAAAACTGCTTCAATTATCTTTAAACATATTTTACAATTAGATGTTTTTTTGGGAAATGACATTGCTACAGATAATCAAAAAACATGAAACACTACAGAAACACACTTAATATCGCTTGCTTTGAAAACGTTAGAATCTTGATTATATCATTGAATACTTGATAGTGCTGTCCATTTTAGTTGTTACTGCAGTTGAAAGTCCTCAAGTGAAGTGATTTCTGTTATTTAGTATAGTTCTTTGTATGTGAACACAATTCTTACTTTGTCAACTTTTTGCCTTATTGTTGCTTTTCCTATTTCCGATTTGCATATACATTATTCGCTTAGTATTATTTTGCCCTGTTCTTTTGCTTCCGTTTCTCAATGTGTTTTGTCAGTTGCGTCTGTTGAGAATTTTGTCGATTGCCCTTAACCATGGCCTCGTCCTGGGTAAGACGATAAGCTACATCCGTGTCCAGGGTAAGATGATAAACTACGTCCGACAGCAAGGTCTCTGATCAGGAGGTTTTGAGGAGCGTGGAACCACCTCTTAATTGCTGGTGTTCCCAGGTCCACCCTGACCCGGGGTGGTAGCACCTGTTAGGATCCCAGCTATGGGCAAATAGTTAACACCCAAACTTGTGTAAAAATAGGTTTTAATACCAGAAATAATTTTCTGGTATTTTTGACAGAAAAATTATTATCTGCAATAATTTTTTAAAAATACCAGCAATAAAAGCAGTTATACCTTCTTTAAAAAAATATGACCAGCTATAGATTTCTTCAAGGAGAAACTATTCACAGAAATGGATTTTTGAAGAAAAATATATAAACAGCAATAAAAAATTTGCCGGCATTAAATAACCCATTGTGGTTAATATACCGTAAATCAAAACAAAACAAACCAATTAACCATGGCCAATTACTCCACAAAATAATGACATGATAAAAATGTTGACATTCCACACTACTTTAAATAAAAGGCTAGGAAGGAAAACGCTATCAATTCCGGAAAGAGCGATAACAGCTACTAGATTTGAAAAGCCTAGTTGAGAGGAAAGTAAGAATCCGGAAGAGAATTCAAAAAGCGAGAATTGCGAGAGAAGAAACCATCAGCATAGAACCTACGGTTATATCTAACAATTTCAGCGGTAAAATGATGAAACCGTATTTCCACTACGCTGAAATTCATAAAGTTGAGATAACCAGGAGGAATATACATATGAAAACATCTTCATAGAAAACACGTTATACAGCGTGGCAGTGCACAGGAAAACTACGTTATAACAGCGGGAAATGATTGAAGCCGAGATGCCAGGTCAGGGCCAATAAGATTACATATTCTTCTTTGGATTCTGAGGTGGCCATACTCAATATATGAAGAAACTGCAGACTTATAAAAATGCAAGATAGATTCTGGCGTGAAAAATTGTCTCAACGGTCTATTGGGTGTAAAGCTTATTCCAGACCTCAAATGATATATTGTGTCGTCTCTGAAGACGCTGGAAAGTCAGACCAAGAATGGAGTACTTATACCATATATGGGCTTGTGCTAGCCTGTCCAGCTTTGACAGAGTTCAAAAGCGATTACACAGTTATGTGGGTGATTAATTATTTTCTACCCAAGCAACCTGGATCGCACAGATCAAACGTTGCTGGTATCACAATCCGTTAATATTGTTGCTATGACAAATTTGCAAACTAGCTACATTCTTTAGTTCCACCAGTTCAGACCTTCACATCTAACATGTTCACGGTCTCATATCATTCTTATTTCCTTCGTATTCCTTTCATACGGATAAAGTTTCACTCGGTTTTTCCTAGAACTATTACATTCTAGAATAATCTCCCGAGAGGGTGCTTTCTCCACCAGTGCACTCTTAACAGTATCAAGTCTAGGATCAATGTATGTTTATCCAACATATAATATCCACCTTTACTGAATTATCTACCCTTAGAACAATTTTACCCAGCAACCTCTCGTTTGAGTATATTTTGAGCTTTTAATAAGGTGAATTAAAGTAAAACAAAATCACTCGTATTTGATACACAGGCGTTACTTTAGGCTCCTGTTTCTAATTATCTTTTAAGTTAATGTGCTTTTTTTTGTTCCAAAACTCCTTTGTTCAACAATGAAATGACCCAACGAGATGTTGATATATCGTTAGATTAACTGCCGGAACCAAAACAGAATCATTCTTTCATCACGTGAAATAATATTTAGCCGAAAAGAGACACATAGTCAAAAAAAGGTCGGGAAGAAAAATGACGAGTAAATATATGAATTAATTTGAAGATATCATTTCGTTAAGAAAACAAATCAATACAAGAACGCGTACCAGTCCGACGATCAGAGAAAACAACGTTGTAATAGTTGCCTTACGTGTATGAATTGTCTATATAAAGTTCACTTGGGCACCTAGTGGTAGTGTAATGGTTAGCGAGCTTGTCTTGCTAGAACAGTTACGACTGAGTAGCGAGTTCGATCCTCACTGGGTGCCTCATACTTGCGGCCTTGTGTCACATCTAAGCTACGCTTGGAAAATCGATTGGGCACTTCGTGGTGGTGTAATGGTTAGCGAGCTTGTCTAGCTAGAACAGTTACGACTGAGTAGTGAGTTCGATCCTCACTGGGTGCCCCATACTTTCGGCCTTGTGCCACATCTGAGCTAGGCTTGGAAAATCGCTATATTAACTTTCCTTTCAGCAAGACATATATTTTCAAAAAGCTTCATTTATCATTATACTTACTTGCATTTCCTACTCTTGAAACAGTTATAAGACCAAGAATTTGAATAATTTTCTTATAGTTATATCAATAATAAAAATGAATTCTGCAAACTTACCATTTTTTTTTTTTTTTTTTTTTTTACTTGTGTAATAATTCGATACAATTTTAGGGAATACAATTAAACAGACTATTTCTAGCTATTTATAGAATTCTGTTTTTTTTTTTCGTTTTTGTTTTTATCCTCCAGTCGACTACGATATTGTAAAAGGACGAAAATATCGGACTTTAGCTACTATCAACGTTGCAGGAAATCCTAACGAACATTGCCGGACTTAAAATTACTGAAATCCATTTTTTAAAACATAATATTTTTTTTAAATATTTTACTTCATACCTGGTTCTTAAAAAAATAAAGTTACTTCTAGAATCAATGATTACATATCTTTTACTTTTTTTTTTTTTTTTTTTAATATAAGCAATCTGATAATTTTCTGTTAAATTGCGACTGGATTTTAACAAGACAGATATTATCATTATTAAAATACACCTTTAAATGCCAAATCTAGATGCCGTCAGTGTTGTTGCTCCCATGTCACTAGAATTTTCGGGTCTAAATAAACAACAGACTTCTTCGATGGGCGACCCGACCGAATATGATCAGTATTCGGCCCGCACCCAGAACAAAATCTGCCACTAGCTTTAGGACATGCATTATATAAGTTGCCCCAGTAAACAACAACCAATCAAGACTTTACTTGGGTTATTCGAAGTTATTAGGTATGCATGGTTGTATTGATCTTCCTACATGCGGTCAAGATAGGGTGTTTTTTTTTTTTGGAAGAAGAGAAGAAAACCTCCTCTTTTAACTTCTATAAAATAACTTATTTGTTTGGTCTTTTTTCTTTTTTCGTTTTTATTCTTATTTTCTTTTCTTTTCTTTCCTAAACTACACTTAATAAACTTACAATTGAGTGATTAAAATGACAGACTATTTACAACTTTAAAAACTAAGAGAAAAATATTTAACAAAAATATACGTTATTTCTATACAAACACAGTGAATTTTAAAATTTTATCGAGAGAAATATGGCTTATTCAGTGTCACCCGGATATAAGAGAGTGGTCGGGACCGGAGAAGAAGTCTCTTATATCCGGGTTTCTCTTATATCCGGGTTTGGTCTATTTTGTTTAGGTAAGTATGAGAACAATTTGGAACCAGAGAAAATCTCTCTTATATCCGGGTTTCTCTTATATCCGGGTCTCTTATATCCGGGTTACCCTGTATATGGCAATTTATTAAATATGAAGGAAAAATAAGTTATACAATTTTTTGTAACAATAAAAATGCTTTAAAAATGTTGTTATATAAATTAAATGCTATCTTGTAAACACCATTTGTTCTTCTTTTCTGTACCGTATTCATTCACAACGTTGACGATCATGCCCCCCCCCAACATCTTCCTGCGCCTTGTAGCCCTTAATATTTTTTGTCTTTTTGTTACTTCTCCCAAACCCTGTTCTACCATTCATTTACTCAAAAACATCAGGTATGTTACGCGCTGTTTTCCTCCGTCACACTTTACCTCAAAT